TATATATACAGAAGGGAATAGACAGAATAGTGACAGGAAAGCAATTAGGAAGAGAAAACATGATGAGAAGTGAGAAAGTTACCACCTTTTACAGTTTGGATCTGGTGTCCCCTGCAGTTTCATGTGTTTGAACATATGGTCCCCAATCCAGATTCAGCCACTATGCCTTCCCCACCACAATGGGCCCTCCACCCTGAGATTGCTTTAGATAGGCATTTTGTCATAGCAGTGAGAAAGGCAACCAACTGACTATGCGGATGTATGCAATTTTCATGCAAATATACATGTTCAGGTAAAACACACATTGTAGATCTTTTTTTTTTTTTCACATTCTAGATCTTTACGTGAAGAGAGAAATGACATCTTCAGCAACAAAGGGGTACAAAACAAATTTCCTTTGGCTAATCTGAAAGAATCAAGCCAATGTTCATTGGACTCTCAAGGAAACGAATGCTGTGAGACATCCATCTGAACAAACTCACAATATAGTACCATGACACAATGACAATAAATATGGCTCTGCTGCTCAGTCAAGTGTTTTTATCATAGTATAACTGAAGATGACTTTCTCATCTGTAAAGATTCATGGGAACCTAATAATCTAAAGAAAACTGTGCTAGATTACCTCAGTACCACCACCTTATATACTAAAGAGTGAAACAGTGGACAAAATTTGTTTTCAGAACTAGTAATAAGTCCTTTTTACATATCTTTCCTTTAACCTCTTAAATATCTTGAGTACCACCTTCAGAGTTAACCCCGGCCAGGGAGCTGTAGAAACTCCAGAAGGAAAGGAGAAGTTCCTGGACCATGGGTCCACTCTGCAGGAGAGGAAGGCATAAACCTCTGGGTGCATCTTCTTCCTTACCTGGAGTGGGGGGAGGAACTCCAATTGAGAGAGCCAATGTGAATCTTCCTCATTTGCCCTTGAACAAGAGACTCTTTTAAAAGGGGAGGTGGAGGAGAAGAAGGAAGAAGAAAAAGAAGGAGGAGGAGAATAAGAATAAGAGGAGGAAGAGGAAATGTTGCTTTCAGAATTAGCAAAAATGGGCGTTTTCCTCCCTTGACTGCCTGATTAATGCTTGAAGTCCAGCTTAAACACAGAGACAGCATCACATCAGGAAACATCTCCCCATTCCTCCCTCTTCCTCCCAAGATGCAGTTGTCCTCTATTTCTTAATACTCTAATCCATTGTTCCTGTCTTGGTGGATTACAGTATAACTGATTTTACGTGACACTGCAGAGGAGAACAGAAAACACAGTGTAGCTGCTTTTGTACCTGCACTGTCTGGTGCAGTACAAGCCATGCAGCAATCTCAATGTGCCATTGAGTCCCAGTGGCTCCTTGCCCTTGTGTGTCTGTGTCCATGTGGCTGGGTAGGAGTATACACACTGTTCCTCAGAACAAGGCAAGAAAAAGTTAACCACTGCTGGGCTCTGTGTTAGGCTGCTAAGCTCTGGTGGTAGGGGGGCTTTAGATCATATTCTCTCTGCTGAGATTCTGTGGTCTAGAGAGAAATGTAGAGGTTAAAATGCTGTGGGGTCAGGAATGTGAGGTGTTGGTGCTGAGTTGGACATATCTGGGCCTGAGTGTCCATGTGGGTACTGTTGCTCATGGAGCACTTGCATGGCCTAGACATCCAGAAAAGCCATCCTGCTTCCTAGTGAGCTGCTGAAATCTGCCAGGGCTTTTGAGGTTTGTTCCTTTGCCAGAATGAAATGCCTGGCTGGGGATCCAATCATTCTTGTGGGAGTCAGGGACTTCATGCATTATTGGCCCCAGTCTGGCCCTAACACCCAACTGTAGTGTCCAATGGTGTTATTTGCCAAGTGTGGTTATATTTCCCATCCATGACCCTCCAGTTTTGATAGAAAATGTTTTAAATGTAAGAATGATGCATCTGCATGGGGTCCCCTTCTTCACTATGAAATTTGTGACCTTCAGCTAGCCATTTGTCCTCTGGCTATGAAACCATAGAAACGAGGACCATACATAACTTGCTCACTGCTGAATTCTATTTACTTAGCACTGAATTTGGCATATAGACATACTCCATAGAGTCAGGGTTTGTGTGATGGATAATATTGATTGTCATCCTAGAATCACCTTGAAGACAAACCTCTGGGTGTATCTGTGGAGCAGTTTCTAGGTAGGGTTAATTGAGGTGGGGAGACTAAACATTGCAGCTCAGAGGGAAAGGTATTCTGGCAGTCAAGAGCCAAGGAACACCACAAAGTCACCATAAGCGTAGCAGTTTACAGCCCTGCACCAGGGAAAGGTTTCCTCAGTGCAAGTGTAAGAACTCAGCTCCATCAGGGGAGGGGAGGGTTTCCCCAGGGAAGTTGTAACAGCTCTGCTCCTCTCTGCCCTGCTCCAGGGAAGTGTTACAGCCCTGCTCAGGTCTCCCCCACCCCAGTGTAACTGTAACGTAACAACTCTGCTCTGCTAGGGGAATATTTCCCCAGCCAAAGTGTTACAGTTCTGCTCTGCTCCAGCTCCAGCAAAAGCTGTTACAGCAGGGATCTCCTCAGGGAAAAATGTCACACTGCACAACAAACCTCAGTCAAGGAAACATCTAGGAAGGTGGCTGCCTTGGGTGAGAAACAGCAGCAAACTGAGCAGGGTACAGAACTTACACAGGGTTTTGTTGGGAGCTGTGCAGCCAAATCTTGGATCAGCATATGACTACCTGTCCAACCAGTTTCCTTGTGGCAAGGCACCTGTGGAAACAGACTCTCACTTGGCAAGGACAGGACAGCATAGGAATTTGCAAATTTCATGCAGCTTGCAGGCTCTTTTCTCTCTCATTATATTGGTGATTCTTTGGGTGGTTTTTTAGTTTTATTTTATCAGTCACACATGCAATAGCTGTAATTTTCCCTGATAATTTTGCTCTTTCTCAAATATTTTCCCCTAAGATTCAACAGGGGGCTAATAATTCTCAAATCTCTTATCTGGAGTTACTAACTATAACTCCCAATCCTGGGAACTTTTCTGACTCAAGAGAAACAGTTAGGTGCATATGAGAAAACAACACTTGGAACATTAACCACATCTCACAGTTCTGGAAAGGAGACTAAGGCATGCATACATAGACTAGGGGGAAAGCCTCAGGAATACACATATAGTGACAGCTGTTGAGAGTAAGTTCCCTGGACACCAAGCATGGAATCATTGGTAGGATCTGGTATGCTCCAAGAGGAAAAAATACAATGCAAAATGTGGGGTGGATAGATCCATCTTTACCATACATAGGAGCTTATATTGGTGGGAGAAGCATGGTATAGTGAAATGGGAAGAGAGCGCTTTGTCAGGGTCTGCCTTTATCACAGGACCCTCTTGTAGAAAAGAGAACTGTATAAAAGCATATCTTGCAGACAAGAAAGAATTGTCTGGGTTTGAATATTGTCCTCAAAGCATTGTGCCCATGTCTATTACTTTTAACTTTGTAACCACAAGTGGCTGCCAGCTGACATAAATGCTTCAAGAGCAGAATGTTCTTGATATTTAGTTAAGACTGCAAAATGCTGAACTCTATGTCTAGAATAAGGTTATGAAGGGGGTGGGAAAGTGTATTTGGGGAAGCATAAAGGGGAACAATGGTCATAATGATCACAATGTATTCCTTAAATTATGATGTATTTCTTAAAGTCAAAAATAGAAACCAATAATAAAGCTGTTCATGTAACCCTGGTAAGAAAAACTCTTTAAGTATAAATAAAGATGGCCTGAGCTATTCAGGGCCACTTGAGTGCAATCCGCTCGGTGGTCAGAAGTTTTCCTTGCACCGATGCCCCTTCCCCAACTTAGGACCTGAACCCAAGCCAAGACCGGACCCTGGCAGGGTTCCTTGGGAGGCAGAGCATTCCAGGGTGGCTCAGGGAGCTCAGGGACTGGTGGGATTCTGTGCTCAGGGATTGGTGAGTTTTCATGCTCAGGGACCTCAGTGGTTGGTGGAATTCTATAGCCTGACTCAGGGGCAAACTCAGGGATTGGTGAGATTTTCAAGCCCTGGTCCTGGGGTCAAGTCAGGGTCAGGGTGTTTTTTGCCTTGGCCCTTTTCACTCGACAGAGACCCACGCTAACAATACATAGCACTATTCTTTGGGCTGGGGTTCCAGACTGTATAGAAAGGAGAAAGTAGGTGGAGCATCAGCATTCATCTTTCTCTGCTTTCTTGACTGGGTATGACAGGGCCAGCTGCCTCACACTCCGGACACCATGTCTTCCCTGCTCTGTTGGACTGCACCATCAAACCGTGAGCCAGAATAAACCGCTCTTGTCAGGTGTAGTGATGAGAAAAGTAACTGGTACCGTTTGGCAGTTTGGATATGAATGGCTTACCCGGGTGGGGCCTAGTTAGAGGACGCAGGTCACCAGGAACATGTTCTGGCCAGTGTTATCCTGTTCATGTTGCCCCCCTTTCAGCCGCACCCCCCCTTCATCCTCCACCACATAGCCCCAATGCCACAGTATGCTACCCAAGCCCCTGTTGCCAAGCAACCGCGGATTGTCTAAACCCTCTGAAATGCTGAGCAAATAAATCATTCCTCTCTTCAAGTCATGTCAGGCATTCCGTCACAGTGATACAATGTCTGACTAACACATAAGTATTCTTCAAGAATGTGAAGATGTCTTGTCTACTTTAAAATGCTATTTTGGACATGAAAGACACTTATAAAATGGAGTAGGCTCAGTGTGGATACAATACCATTTAGTCTTTTCCTTTTCGCTACTAGGGATACTCTTATACATCAAAGGCTGTTCAGATGTTCCTTGAATCCTGCAAAGAAGAACAGAGGTTTCTCCTCTGTTGGTAAGGCTTGCTCAGGTGAGTACTGCATGTCTAAAGTCTGTGCTCTGTTACTATGAAGAGACACCACGACCATGGCAATTATTATAAGAGAAAGCATTGACTTGGGAACTGACTTACAGTGTCAGAAGTTGAGTTCATTATCATCATGGCGGGAAGCATGGCGGGCATGCAAGTGACACCAATGCAGTAGCTGAGAACTGCATCCTGAACTGTAGGCAGAGAGAGACTTGAGGCTTGGCATGGGCTTTTGAAAGCTCAAAGCGTACCCTGAGTAACACATTTCCTCCAACAAGGCCACACCTCCTAATCCTTCTAATGCTCTGAGTTACACTCCCTGGTGACTAAGTACTCGCATTATGAGCCTGTGGGGGCCGTTCTTATTCAAACCACTACAGTGATTGATGCTCTAGAGGCCAATTTGACAGAGAGCAAATTCTGTGACCTGGGAGTCAGGGAACCTGTTCTGTTGTCAGGAAGCAGAAATAGTGTGAGCAGGCCAAGCCACTGGCTCTGGGGCCCTTCTCACTGTCCCCCCCTCCAGGATTCTCTCTCAGAATCCCCAAAGAAAGCTGAAGTAGCAGCTTTCTCTTAAGTATTTCTCATGCACATCTCCATAGCTCCGATCTCCACGGACATGAGTGCACTGGACCCCTAAGCAACACAGCATTGGCTGAAGCTGATCATGTTTTGTTTCCCTTGATGTAAAAGAAGAGATAGCTGGTGTCATAACTGGAACAGGTACGGTCAGCAGCAGCCCGGGACGAGAGGCAAAACTCGGGTCTCAGAGCAAGCACTGAAGGTTAGAAGCCCCTGGAGACTGGTCTCTCAAGGCTGTGTGACCCGATAAGTCACTTAGCCCTTCAGAACATCATCTTTGAGAGGGTCAGTGTCTTAGGGTTTGTTTTTATTGCTGTGAGAAGACACCATGACCATAGCAAGTCTTATAAAGAAAACATTTAATTGAGGGAGCTCTGCTGTGGGATGTCTTTCCGTATGATGTGAATATGTGTTGCTCTGATTGGTTGATAAATAAAGCTACATTGGCTTCTGGCAGGGCAGAATGGAGCCAGGCAAGAAAATCCAAGAGAGATAGAAAAAAGGAGAGTGGGGCAGATGCTGCTAGCTGATTTCAGGAGAGGCAAGATGTAAAGTACTGGTAAGCTGCAAGCCATGTGGCAAGGTATAGATTTATAGAAATGGGTTAATTTAAGATATAAGAGCTAGCTAGCAAGAAGCCTGCTATGGTCATAGTTTGAAAATAATATAAGCCTCTGTGTGTTGACTTGAGTCTGAGCGGCTGCAGGACCAGGTGGGACACAGAAAAACTTCCAACTACAGAGCTCGCTTACAGTTTCAGAGGTTCAGTCCATTATCATCACGACAAGGAGCACGATGGAGTGTAGGCAGACATGTTGCTGGAGAAGGAGCTGAGACTCCTACATCTTGCAGGCAACAGAAGTCGACTGGGCGGTATCCTGAGCATAGGAAATCTCAAAACCCACCCCCACCGTGACACACTTCCTCCAACAAAGCCACACCTTCTCCTAATAGTGTCACTCCCTAGGGGATGATGGGGCCAGTTACACTGAAACTACCAGTCAGTAAGGGGGCACATGTACAGAGTGTCTCCTTATTAGAGAATTGCTTTTGGGGTGCACCTGAAGAGTGGCTCAGCAGTTAGGAGTCGTTGCTGCTCACATAGAGGATCCAGGTTTACAGGCAGCACCCACATGACTGTGAATTCAGTTCCAGGGGATCCCGCACACTCTTCTGGCTTTCATGGGCCAGGCACACACATGGTGCGTACATACACATATAAGCAAAACACTCATACACATAAGAATAAGTAAATCTTTAAAAAATACATTGTCGGAGTCAGGCATGGTGTTCATGCCTTTAATCCCAGCACTTGAGAAGCAGAGGCTGGAGATCTCTGTGTTTGAGCCCAGCCTGGTCTACACAGCAAAGTCCAGGCCATCTAGGGCTACATATTAAGATCCTGTCTTAAAAAAAAAATTTAGATTCTAATTATTTCCTTCTCCCCTTGTTGTAAAGCTCATTTTTCCAGAAGGAAACTGGTAGGATGTCGCTCTTCTGTGTGGAGGTTTATTAAAGCAGTTCCCCTAAACACTGAGATTATTTGTCTCCTTTTCACAGAGACTTTGGATACAGTGTTGTTTATTATTTTCTTCCATCAATTTACTGAAACTATAGAGAAATGTTCCTGTGCACATGGACATAAAACATTTCCTTTATAATATCTGTGGCTGTCTGACGTCCAGAAATCCATGGACCCGAGGTTTTCAACATCTAGAAAAGCAATGTTTGGACTCCAAGGCATCTCCGAAGCCAGCTGATGCTTCTCCCCAACAGCAGGGCTGTTCCATTCAGTCCTGTCAGAGCTAACTAGCCAGGCAGAGTCCATACCTCTCAACACCTCTCCTTCACTCTCGTTGTACCTCAACTGTGGCAGCCTGTGTTGACCCCTGGGCAGTGCCAGTGTATGTGGTAATAAATGGAATAGAGAGCAACTGGGGGCAGGTGGCCATTTTCTGGTGGTACATTGGGGCTGGCTGGCAGCTAGCCTCTGTTGGCAGGTGCTGCTGGGACTTTAACAAGCCTGGTCCTCAGATTGCAGAACAATGCTCCTCCCTCCCTCTGCTGTGACTCAGCACTGGGGCCACCTGCAGAGCAGACTTCCAGAGGGTTAGACTTGAGGAGACAGGCTGCCTGCCTCCTGGGCCGGAATGCAGGCTGATAGCAGGCCACCAGCCACTTCAAAATATCAGAGAAGGCAAGTTGTAGGGACTCACCTAGTGGCTTCTTTCACTTATGGTAACAAGTGTTCTGTTCAGTTCCCATACTGGAAGTGGTCCCCTTCAGCTTCTGAAAATTGGGACCCAAGGTACCTGCCCCCAACACTCTGGTGTCCCAGTAGAGATACAGATCACATACTGGGTCAGAGCCCAGAAAGTAAGATACTTAAAGAAGTAGTCCTCAACCCGTGGGTTGCGACTCTCGCTGTAGAACAATCTTTCCACAGGGGTCACATATCAGATGTCCTGCGTAGCAGAAGTTTACATTGTGACTCATAACAGTAGCAAAATTTTAGTTATGAAGTAGCAGTGAAAATAGTTCTATGGTTGGGGGGTCACCACAGCATGAGGAGCTGTATTAAAGGGTTGCAGCCTTAAAAAGGTTGAGAGCCACTGTTTTAAGGGGAACAGTCTCAGCAGGTCAAGATGTAAGTACAGTGTCTGGTCTATGTCTTCTAACTATTCCATTCGATTCACTTTTTGTGAGGCCTATGGAGTGGATACGAATATTCAGAATCTTGACCCAGTGTCAAGATTTTACCCAGTGTAAAACAGTGGGCTCTCCATGGACTTCTCTGTCACGGGGTAAAACTGAGCATGCCACATTTGGGGAACCAAGGGATCTTACCTATGAAGTACGTTTGTGATGAGTTTCTATACCTCTCCATGAAAAAGTAATGAGAAGAATTCACCTAGCTTTCTTTTTTTGTTGATGTTTTTGTTTGTTTGTTTTTTGTTTTTTGTTTTTGTTTTTCGAGACAGGGTTTCTCGTGTAGTTTTGACCTTTCCTGGAATTCACTCTCTAGCCCAGGCTGGCCTCGAACTCACAGAGATCTGCTGTGGGATGTTCTGTATGTCCTGTGGGAGCCCTTCTTGGGTTCTTTGTGGCGTTACCCAGCAGATCCGCATAGAGGATGATTAGGACCATGGGCCTGAGTGCAGGTGTCTGAGATGGTCTACACTTGGCTGTGCTGGGGGATGGTCTGTATGTCAAGTTGTTCTGATTGATCAATAAATAAAACCTGATCGGCTGTGGCTAGGCAGGAAGGATAGGCGGGACTAACAGAGAGGAGAAATAAAAGGACAGGAAGGCAGAAGGACTGGCTGCAGCCGCCGCCATGACCAGCAGCATGTGAAGATGCTGGTAAGCCACCAGCCACGTGGCAAGGTATAGATTTATGGAAATGGACTAATTTAAGCTATAAGCACAGTTAGCAAGAAGCCTGCCACGGCTATACAGTTTGTAAGCAATATAAGTCTCTGTGTTTACTTGGTTGGGTCTGAGCGGCTGTGGGACTGGCGAGTGACAAAGATTTGTCCCTGTGGGCAAGGCGGAAAACTCTAGCAACAGAGATCCACCTGCCTCTGCCTCCTGAGTGCTGGGATTAAAGTTGTGTGCCACCACCACTGCCGGGCTCGACCTAGCTTTCAAGGGTTGGTTGGGCAAGAAAGACTTGCAGCTAAAATGCTGTGTTTTACAGGATTTTTGCAAAGAAACAAGTAGATTCCATGTTTCCTTTCAAAATGGGACCCTCCTAAGAAGTGGGTCACGGGTGTCCACGCTGTCTTCTTGTAAAGCCCGACAGTATCAGTTGGGCTAGCTGACGTCCTAAGGACGGCTTTGCACAGAAGTTTCCCTCGTGGGAAAGGGCCTCTCTGTGTCACCTGGAAGCCTGACAGTTCAAAGGCAGCCGGTTCCAGCTGGCATCCCATCCAGCTGTCTGGCTCACACTGCCCATTGCCCCAGCCACCCATGCGGGTCTGAGAGACCACATATTGTGTTCCAGGAAGTTTGTGCAGGACCACACTGCAGCTCTTTGCAACGAGTCCTCTCGGGGAACAGTGGGGTGAGGCAAGGACAGCCTAATAAATTGCCTTGCTTTGGCCTTCCCCTTCCTTGTGGGATTTTTCCTCAAGTGCCCTTCAGAATGAGCACTGACTGGCTCCACCTAGTGGCCAATTCCCATTAAGAAAACAAAACAAAAACTGATGTGGCTTCTCACCAGACCAGCACTTGACTACCTAGTAAGGTAGTCATTAGTTGCATGTGACTCTCAGTTACCTTAAATGTGGCTAGCCCAAACTGAGCTACGCCATCAAGGTAAAAATGTGTTGTATTTTAAAGGCCTATTAAAAATAACTGTATCAGCGTACTCTATAATTTTATATCAATTACATGACTAATGGTGTTTTGGCTACATTAGTGACACAATACGTTAATTTCACCTGTCTCCCCTCACTGTGTGTGTGTGTGTGTGTGTGTGTGTGTGTGTGTGTGTGTGTGTGTGTGTGTGTGTGTGTGCTGGTGTTTCACCCTTGTGGGCACATGTGGAGGCCAGAGGCTGGCATGGGGATGTCTCCCTCAGTCATTTCTCCATCTTACCTTTGAGATAGGTTTTTCATTGGACCTGGAAGCTCCTGGCTGCTGCGGAACTCCCAGAATCCACCTGGCTCTGACCCCAGCACTGAGGTCACAGGCACACAAGGACGACACACGCAGCTTTTGTGTTTTACAGGGGTGTTGGTGAGCTGAACTGAGGTCACCGTGCTTGCATTTTAATCACCGATCCATCTTCCCAGCCCTCCTCTCTTAGTTTTTAAATGTGACTCCTAGGCTGGGCAGTGGGGGCGCACACCTTTAATCCCAACACTCAGGAGGCAGAGCCAGGCGGGTCTCTGTGAGTTTGAGGTCAGCCTGGTTCACAGAGTGAGATCTAGGACAGGGTACCAAAGCTACACAGAGAAACCCTGTCTCAAAAAACAAAACAAAAAAAGGGATTCCTAGAAAACTTAAAATATGTGTCATTCGAACATGTGGTTCATGTTCAAATTATTTCTACTGGACAGCACAGCTCAGATAGAATAAATGTGATTTCACATATTTCTGAATACACATATTTAGAATCCTCTCCACATCAGGATTAAGGTGAGGAGGTCCAGATTTTGCTTGTGTTGGTTCCTCAGGGTCTGCAGGAATTCCTTTACACCCCTCCCTACATGTGGGTAGGGACCCCAGAATCCTGCAATTCAGAGTCTCTTGTGTAATAGAACAACTACCCCGACCCTCAAAGCACAGCTCCCCCCTCCCGGCTGAATGCAGCAGAAACAGGGAGGCCTGAAAAGAGCTCGGGTCTCTGTGGGAAGGCAAAGGGAGACCGCTCTCCAGGGCTGCACACTGGTGTCTCCCAGTAGCTTACTCAAAGTCCTCATCCTTTACCTTTAAATTGCTAGATGTTTCTATGTATTTTTACACCTAGTGAGTTATGATTGAAATGCAATGAGCTGCCAGTTTCAAGCCTCTAACTTTCACATACACTTCTGTGATTACACATGGCTACACTCCAGACTCTTGCACCAAAACAGCCTATTTTATGGGTCTAGGACTTTAAGATTAGAAAGCAGTGGAGACTTCACGCTTTTTGTTTCCTCTTAATCATTTCCAACTGACACTCAACACAGAGGTACAGAAGGTTGTTGTTGTTGTTGTTGTTGTTGTTGTTATTTAATGCCCACCATTGTTCTACATGCTTTTTTCTTTTTTTTAAAAGATTTATTTATTTATTATGTACACAGAAGAGGGCACCAGATCTCATTAAAGATGTTTGTGAGCCACCGTGTGGGTGCTGGGAAATGAACTTAGGACCTCTAGAAGAGCAGTCAGTGGGTGCTGGGAATTGAACTTAGGACCTCTGAGCCACCTCTCCAGCCTTTTTTTTTTTTTTTTTTCAGAGCTGAGGACCGAACCCAGGGCCTTGCGCTCTACCTCTGAGCTAAATCCCCAACCCCTACGTGGTTCTTTATATCAAAATCCTACAACAGTCCCAGGGAATGTGTGTTCTGTCATCATTCATTTTACAATCGAGAAAATAGGGTTTCAGTGGCTCACCACAGTTCACATAACCAGCAGGCAGAGGCAGGATTCACACCCTGGCAAAGGAGCGATGCCCCAGGAGTGATACGGTATTCTCCTCTACACATGGAGCCCCTGATGTCTAGGGAAGAGCTAGCCTGTCAAGAGTGAGCCAGCTGGCAATGTAACAGGGCCGCAGACCTTAGCACAACTGACTCCATGATGGAAGTGCCATTCAGGAGGTACAGCTCAGCACGTAGACAGCACCGCCTGCCAAAACAAAAACAAAGACCCGATCCATCAAAGTCCATACCGTTCTGGGAAAGTCTCTAAATGTACTAACCTTGCTATTCGGCTTCTGTAGCTCCTCTTCTGGCTAACTGTTCTTGTTAACTGCGGTATGTCAACCAGAACATGTTTGTTTTGTGTTTAAAAGCTCACATTGACACAGACCTCGGCTGCATCAGGGCCCAGATATCACCATGATACTGAGTGGCAGTCAAGCCACCCACCTCAGCCCGCTCCTCACCACTTTCATTCATTCCTCCAGCTATGCCTCTGTCTACAGGAAATGAACCGTCTGGCTCTCTCTCTCTCTCCTATAACACACTGTACAATTTACTCACCATAACAGTGCCCCATCCTCCCCATGCTTTCCGGGCGGCCCATGTTTTCTCCTCCAGGAGCAGGTCTGCATGAGGGTCTCTTTGCCCTGCTCAGTGTGTGCTCTCTGTTTAGAACAAATGACTTTAGGTGGATTTATACTAATTTTTGTCTTTTAATATAAATATTCTCTAAATAGCGTTTCTGTAAATGACGTTATAGTTTCTTAACTGCTTTAAACAGTATACTCACATATGGTAGCATGTGCCTTTTCCCCCAACACTCAGGAAGCGAAGGCAGAAGAGTCAAAAGTTCAAGAATATCCTCGGCTACTTTGCAATTTCATGGCTAGCCTAGGATACACAAGCTACCCCGTTTCTACACACATACACACACACACACACACACACTTATATGTATGTTTATATAAGGCCCTTTTTATATACTAAGAACATATATGAAAAATAACCATAAATTAGATCAGCTTAAAAATAGTGTTCAACTCATAGTTTTGTGCACTTAGCATTTAAAGATAAACTCTTGGACTGGAGAGACAGCCCAGTGGTTAAGAGCATGTACCGCTCTTCCGGAGGACCCAAGTTTGGTTCCCATCACCAACACTGGACTGCTCACAACGGCCTGTGATTCCAGCTCCAGGGGATTCCAGTGCTGCTCCGGTCTCCTTGAGTACTTGTGTTCATGTGTACACAAACACACAATTAAAAGTAGTAAGAATAGAGCTGAAAAATAAAGAAAAGCTCTCGATAAAGATGAGCCATTATGTGGGTGCTGTCTGCACCCTCCTTTCCTGTCTGTTTCAG